GGATGAGACAACATCCAGGACTGGAGGTACCTGTTGCTCCGCCCCATGGAGTTTAAACTGCACACATGATTCACTAAATCTGACCACAGGAAAGTTTCTGTATGAGGCTAAAATCAGAAATGTAAAATGTAGATTCAAATCAATGTTTTACAAGCTAACTTGTGTATTTCTGAATAATATTTTTTCTTTTGGGAAATTGTTCAACTGTGTCTTTGTTGAAAAGGAGCCGTGGAGAAGTTTGTTAAGACGTCAGTCTGACGTCCGTGCAGTCAAAAAGAAATAAGAGTCAAAGCTGTAAAACTGACTGACTGACACAGGAACAGCTGTTTCCTGTGTTTGAAAACTCGAGTAGTTAATGAGATATTTCCAATTAATGATGCCAAATGAAGAAACGTGCTAATTTAAGTGTCCACTGCTACGCTGGATGAAGGCTTTAAACGAAAACTTTCCCCGTTTATTAAAAAAAGAGAGAAGTGATCGTCAGTGAGGGATCACTCCTCTGTTTTTGTTCATTCTGAACATTAACACAAACATAAACATAAACATAAACACAAACATTAACACACTGGAGACCTGCTGTGGGGTTTGCTGAATAGCTGTGATAATGTTTTCTATTCCTGGAGAAGAAAACAAGTCTTAAAAGCTTTGCACATGTTTGGTTTTCCTTTGTCTTCTCAGTTCAATACACTCTCATTTGTATATCACCAGTTTATAATGGTTTATAATGGTTTATAATGGTTTATAATGGTTTATAATGGTTCGCTCATACAGCACTGAGATCAGATGATCTCCTACGATGACTGTGGGGAGGAAGAACTCCCTTTTTAAAACTCAGAGAGTCTCTGATGGTAGTCGGTGCTCGTACTCTCTGAAACTGATTCCATGTAACTGCTGACTTTGAGTTAGGCTGATATCAGAGCGACAGCAGGACGACTCTTTCATTGACGGCAGCTTTCAGTGACAGCGCTTGACAACACCACAACTTTGTCATGTTGGATCAAACAGATACTGTCAAAGTTAAACTTTGACGACATCATTTGTACTGAAAAAAAGGTGAAAATCACCATAATATAGTATCGTGAGTGAAGTACAGTGATGTTGTGATAGTGCTGCCAAAACCTGGGGTAAGTGTCCTGCAGTCACCAGTGAATCTATTGGGGGAGCCCTTCCCATAGCCACAGATCAACTGGCACCAGTTGATGTAAATCTGGTGCTTGAGTGGGTAAAACAGGTCCAAGCTTGTGCCTCGAGCACAGTTGGTGCCACTAACTCCTCAACAGGAAATGAAATCCTCTCAGGAACACTTTGACCAATCAAAACCAAACCGCCAAAATGGGCCTGTGACTCCGCCCACACACATATGCTCTGTTTAACCTTCTGTATCCCACTGTTGACTAATAACAACTGCCACTGGCCGCCAAGCGTAACACAGACTGGAGACACTTAATCCTAAATTAGGATTAAAAACAGATATATGTGCATCAAATAGTTTCCATGTTTCCCCGACCAATCAAAACACTCTGCTGTCGTTTGTATCCTGTCAGAAGGCTGTTTAGCTGTCAACATGCCCAGTGTGAAGCATTCATGTCTGTGTGCTCCAGAGGAGGCTGCGAAATGTTGTGAAAGGAGCCAGAAACAGGTCAGAGAGCGTCTGCTGCAACGACAACCAAGGGCTGACGAGGATATCCTAAACTTACTGAAGCTTTGAGGTGCAGCATCATCGCTCTGACGTCATCAGCAAGTAAACTCTCAGATGGACCAGTGTAATCAGAGCCTTTATCACAAGGAAGTGTGGCTTTTTAAAGACACTGTGGGCTGCATCTGTGGTGCTAGCATCACATCATAGGTGATGCTAGCTGTCAGGTTTTTAGAGACTACTTCATTTTCTCTGTAGAGAAGGGTTGCACATCTAGTCTGCTGCAAACATATCATGACTAAATCATTTCTGCACAGTTTCCTTCGTTACAGCTCTGACGTCAGCTGAGGAGGTAAGGGCTCAGGTCAGGAGGAAGAGAATGAGGTGACGAGGGAGCAGTGGAGGAGGAGTGTGATGAAGCTCATGCCATCATGTGTTGTTCAG